ACACACACACACACACACACACACACACACACACACACACACACTCTTGTACAAAAATATCTCTTAAGTTGGGCATGGTCTCAGGGGGCAGAGGCTGGTGGATCTCTGAGTTCAAAGCCAGCCTAGTCTGCATACCAAGTTCTAGGCCAGTCAGAGATACACAGTGAGACCCTGTCTCAAAAACAAAAACAACAACAAAAGAAAAATCCATTAAAACAGTACTCTACCAGATTGATTGATTTTCCTAGTATCAGTCTCTTGCACTATTGTATATGAGACGTGTTCACAATTTAGTTGATTCTCTTACTCATTGGACCAACAGGAATTGAGAATGCTTTGTTTATTATTTATTTTATGTGTATTGATGTTTTGCCTGCATGTGCACGTGTGTGGTGTGTGTGTGTGTGTGTAACATGTGCATGCCTGGTACCTACCTAAGTTAGAAGAGAGCTGTGGATCCCTGGAGCTGGAATTACAGATGGTTGTGAGCTACCGTGTTGATGCTGGGACTCAAAACCCAGACCTCTGCAAGACCAGCAAGTGCTCTTAACTTCTGAGCATCTCTCTACCCTCATAAGTGTGTAAATCCTTGCACTGCCTTTTCTCTAGGGTCATAGTGAAAGTTTATGAAGTTACCTTTTTTAATTGAGTATAAAGTCAATCTTAGAAGAGTTGAACATAAGACATTTTAAATTTTATTCCACATGGCATATTCATATGATTTTTGCTTAAAAGATTGTTCCTTCTCTTAATGAGTAGTAACCTAAGTAATTAGGGTTACCATCTTTGTCTAATTTTTATATTTAAACGTTGACAGTTTCTAATGTTTTCTCTTGTCAGATGGTATGTGCAGTTACCTACACAGCAAGCTCATCAGTATCATGAGCTGGAGACGCGGGGCCTCCCTCTCTCACCGGCTCCCTTTCCTGTGTCCGCTCCTGAGGAAGAGGAGACTGTAGTCAGAGATGAGAACTGTGCGTTGCCCTCGCGCCTCCACCCGCAAGTAGCGCATAAGATTCAGGAGCTAGTGTCACAGGGCGTGGGACACGTGTACGCAGTGAGGAAGCAGCTCAGGTACAGGAGGAGCAGAGTCCCGTCACACCTGACCTAAGTTGTGGGCACCGGACAGCAGCTTTCCAGGACGCACGCTGTCAGAGGGATGGAGCGTGCTTCTCCACCTTTCCTGTACACGCTCTTTCCAGCAAGCTTCATACAGTAGTTCTTACTATCATTCCAAATGCTCTCTTGAGACACTACGTCTTTGGCAGACTGGACTACTTCTACATAATGAATTTATTTTATTTTACTAGCTAAGGTCTTACTGGCCTTTAATTCACTTACATCTCCCAGGTTGGCTTCCAAATTTCAGCAGTTTTCTTATCTCAGGTAACCAAGTGCTGGGATTATAGGTGTGAGCTACTATCCCTGTAATGAATTGAATGGCATGATACATATTTTAGAGAGAAAAAACTTGTAGAATCAGAAAATTAAAAACCTAGGCTAAAATAATTATTTCAAAGGCGCAAAACTACACAGAGAAACCCTGTCTCGAAAAACCAAAAATAATAATAATAATTATTATTATTATTATTATTATTATTTCAAATTATTTGACATGAAATTAAATTATAAGGTAATATGGGGAATATGATCAAAATAGAATATGTACATATATAAAGTTCTCAAAAAATTAATTAAAATATTTGATTTTTAAAAAGATAATGAGCTATATTTACTATAACAATGTGTAATGTTATATTATGTATATGTTATGTATCACTACAATATTAATTAAACAAATTATCTTGAGTACCATTAAAGTTACTTCAAAATGCTCTAAATAAAAGTTCCGTTAGGCTGGAGGTAGTGGTGCATGCCTTTAATCCCAGCACTCAGGAGGCAGAGGCAGGTGGATCTCTGTGAGTTCCAGGCCAACCTGGTCTACAGAGCAAGTTCCAGGACAGCAAAGGCTACTCAGAGAAACCCTGTCTTGAAAAAAGAAGAAGAAAAAAGTGTTTCATTAGATGAGGAACTATCCAGATTAACTGCAATAATAATTAGTGTAATAAGGCAATTACTATGTATATCAGGTGTTCTGCCAAACCTTTCAATATGTAACTTTTCAACAGCTTAGTAAAGATGATGCATTTATCCTTATTTTACACATGAGAAAATGGAAATTAAGAATTGCTAAATAATTGACTTGAAAGAGTCAGCGTTGAAAGCGGGGTCTGGTTCTGCAGCCTGTGTGTAATGTTGCAATCCCTCCTCATAATGCTGTTGTGTAGTGAGATCTGAGTAACAAAATGAGTGCTTCCAGAAATTACTGTTTGTTTGTGTGAGATTAGGTCTCACTGTATAGCTCTGGCTAGATTGCAGCTCACTGTGTAGACCAGGCTGGCCTTGAACTCATGGAGATCCACTTGCCTCCATGTCCCAAGTGCTGGGATCAGAAGTGCACACAGCTGCAGCCAGCAGACAAGCATTACTTTTAGTCACCTTTCTGTTTAGGAGCTTTACCATTTTTTTCCAGTGAGGGCCTTACAGAACAAAGCCAACATTCAGTAAAGCCACCCACTGTTGCCAAAAATGTGGCCAATCTACTTATTTAAAATTATTTAAAAAGAGGTTCAATGAAAACAGAAAAGCAATACAACTGCAGTTTGATCCCATAAATATAATGCATAAAGCACACATGTATTAAACTGAGATTTATGTATTTATTTTCATGTCATTGTGTAGTAATGCTACCTTTCTTACAATATCTTGCCTTCCGAAATCTTACTGTCTCACAGTATTCGAACCATCAAATTTCATGTAATATTAATTGATGCCTTTTGGAAGCAGTGTAACATTATGCTTATATATACAAATTGGAAATAGGTCTGTGTTTTCTTACTTATTAAGTAGGTATATAAGACAGGGCAACTTTAACTTGGGCAGTCTCCAGCTCCCTCATCTGTAAAATTATCAATCTGGGACTGATAATTATTTCTGGTCACATGATCACAGTAATAGTTAAAGGAAATACCTGTAGTGTGTTCAAAATTGTATCTGACATTTGAAAACATTATAATGTTCAAACTGAGGATTGTGGTTCAAATTTAATTCATAAAAGTGTCAAAGCTTGCCGGGCGGTGGTGGCCCATGCCTTTTAATCCCAGCACTTGGGAGGCAGAGGCAGACAGATCTCTATAAGTTTGAGGCCAGCCTGGTCTACAGAGAGAGTTTCAAGACAGCCAGGGCTGTTACACAGAGAAATTCTGTCCCCAAAACAAACAAAATGTCAAAGCTCTGTAGTATGTGTGCTTTGAACCAATTAAAATAGCACCTTTCTTTATCCTGCATTAATTCTGTTTTAGTGAATAGAAAGAAATCCAAAGTGGCTAATATTTTATTATTTACAGAACTATGAGTCATACTTTATAAAAGCTTATATTGAAAGAGAATCTTTCTTTCAATATGTGAGTGTTTCAATACAGTTATATTTTTATTTTCTATCCTCCACAGGAAATTTGTGGAAAGAGAACTGTTCAAACCTGATGAGGTACCTGAAAGACATAATTTATCATTTTTTCCAACTGTAAATGATATAAAAAATCATATCCATGAGGTACAGAAATCATTGAGGACTGGAGATGTGGTATATAACTCAGAGGTGATTCCAGCAACGGTATGATCACACCCACTTCTTTGATTCATTAATCTTTCTCAGCTCCTGTTAATACATTAGCAAGTCTCTAGCTCCCAGGAATACTTGGCCTAGTAGAAAGGGCTCTTGTTACACCATCTCCATTCCTATGATTTGAGGAAATACAGTGGGCAAGTTTGTAAAATATGAATACTACCAGCTTGCGGATAATGACTTGACTGAATATTTCTTAGTACTCTCACAAGGAAAAGAAACAGTAGATTTCCAAATCTGAGTATAACAGAGAGAAGAATTAGTATTTTGTTTTAATGAGGACTATTTCTTATTTAGTTTACAGACATTTATTGAGCACACACCGAGTACACTCTTTGCTCCATTTTTTTTTTTTT